ATAGAAGTCTACGGGCCAGAGTATCTAGGCTGCCCCTCTAAACCCCCTGAAACATATTCGTAAATAAGATCTTCTTAAGCCCGATAAGAAAAATATAAAACGTCCCAGAGGCCGACCTAGGTATATACTTTGTATATGTAAAGTTCTCTATGCAAACACTAAACCATAAATCCCAAAACCCAATACGAATACTCGTACGAATACATGATGCTCATCCCTAGGGCTTCAGTCACCTAAACAGTGAGTTGCCAGCCATATATTCGGTACCCCTCTAACCTACTATTTAGGTAACTGGTGCGCTAGGGAATGCTAATAAATACGAACCGAGATCGAAGCCCTCACCCCATCAGAGATCTGAGAGCATAGCATCCAAAAGGCGACCAAGACGTGCCTGAGGTACAGAGTGATTACAGAACTCTGATTTTGTTGAAGGGAGGGGTTGTGGTTAGTGTTGTTGTAGGTCTGATGAGTTTTGTGTAGGTTCATTGGATTCAAGAAAACTTGATTATATGTGAGCGTGTATAGGGCTTAGTTATTGAAGTTGCAAAACCGGCTTCCGGTTTAAGGATTCGGGGTTGAAAGCAATAAGGATTGAAGTTTAGAGCTTGGGGTGGAGAGTTACCAACCATCCTTGAATCCTTCTTGAAGCTTCAGTGCAGACCTTGCGGCATGCAACTCAAGTAGCCTCTGCTTTGGAATTTGCCGACTCAGGGGTCTCAGATCTATGGTGGCCGCTTCCTTGGGAGTGTTCCCGCTTGCTTCGGTCCTGGTTCACTCTCTGAGATCAGCGTCTATTCTCCACAAACACAAGGCTGTGTATGTGTGTGTACTTGTGAATCTATAGCTGTGACTGTGGATTGTAGATTCATCTACCGATCGACCTATATACCGATCTATGATATGTATGCAAAATGTGTTAGACCCTGCTAAGCCAAGACCGAGACCCAAACGTTTCGAGTCTTTGGTCTTGGTGCCTGCAAAAAAAGTACATATGTAATCTCCCAGCAATGTAGTTGCAACCAACAAAAGCAAACGAAACACATCGGGTGCTCTGCATACTCTTCTAGCCTCTAGACTCCAACCCAAGACCTTTCATTTCTAAACCCCTTAGGCACCTCGCTACTAGATCCTAGGCACACAAGAAAACTTTAGCCCCCCCCCCTGCAATGGAGTCCTAACTAAACTGAATAGCACCGTCAACAACCAGACCCAGTGCACTGTCTACACCCGAAACGCTGGGTGCCACAGCAGCTGCATCTGCTCCGGTGCCCAGTCGGATCACGTCTTGCGCAGCCTCCAAGGTGTGTCCCGGATATTTTCATGACTTCCCAGATGCCCTCCAACCCTAAACCCTAAAACTTGAAGTGAACCCTAAACCCTAAACCCTCAAACATAAACACTAATTCAAAAAACGAAAATAGTAACATAATGGCACAATACGTATTAAAGGCTGCTAGTCTGCATACCTCGGCGGTCCAAGTAAGCCCTAAACGGCAAGAAAGAAGAGGTAGTACCGGAGCCTAGTCGAAGTCAGGATCAAGACCATACTGCTTGGGGCGTTTAGTGTTGGAGGCTCTGAGCTCGGCGTGTTTTGGGTTCACCTGCAAAAGCGAAGCCTCCTACATTTCCGAGGCTTTCGGGTAGATTCTGGAAGGTACAAGCGCGCAATAGGCCGGTAGACTACCCCTGTGTCTATGAATGTCAACATATGTATATATATATATATACATATATATATATATACACGTATGTATGTATCTATATATATATATATATATGTATGTATATGTATGTACTATAGTTTTTAATGGTTTCCTCGTCAGGAAAACCGAAGGAGCTGCAGTAGACCTGCAGTTTGAAGGATTCTGGGAGCCATGATGTCGACCACTTGTCCGATCCTGGGAAACTAGAGGTTAAGCTTTTGGAGCATTTTGGGATTATAGTTAGGGATTAGAATACCCCAGCAAAAGGTTGAAAGGGGTCGACTACCGGCCTCCAGCACTTCGGCCGCATAGGGCCTGTCAGGAGCAGGCTTCTTCAGCATCCCCGTGCTGGGATCGCGGTGGGCTTAGGGTTGACGGTTTAGGGTTTAGGGATCACGGGGGGTTCAGGGTTTAGGGATAAGGGTTTGGGATTTAGGGTTTAGGTTTTGAGGTTTAGGGCTCAGGGATCACGGTGGGCGTCTTGTGGGGCACAGGATGTAAGGGAACCCAAGGGCTGCAAAATGCAATCAGGCGCCCTTGATAGTTAGACTGGCTTTTGGAGATTACTAACAAATTCAAACTACCATTGTGTGAGGAACCCTAAACCCCTAAACCCTAAACCCCTAAACCCTAAACCCAAAAACCCTAAACCCAAAAACCCTTTTCTGAGTTCTTAGTTGTTCAAGCCTCTACATTTAGGACTCTGGGAAGAGGAGGGCGAAAGGCTTGAATCAGCTCCACCTCCCAGCTTTATACTTTTCTTACCTTTGGTTAGTCGGGAATGGAAGAATGGTAGTAATAGTAGTTGCAATTGTACCTCATTCCTCCATTCCCTACGAACCAAAGGTAAGTTTTTCGGTCCTTTGAACCACGACCATCCTGTCCCCGGCAGCCTCGGGAATTTGTAGAACCTTCGATTCAACGTGTCC